CGTTTTTCCTCCCAAAGGAGTCAAGTGCAGCAATATTGTACTACATCCTGGCATATTAGCCCTTGATTGGGGATTATTATTATTATTATTATCAAGCTCTTTTTTCCCTTTTAAAGCACATGTGATAAGGTAACAGTGTAATAATTAGGGCAGTCAGCTGATTAAGAGGGAAATCCTATACATTCTACTTGGAAGAAAACCCCACATTATTCAATGGGGCTTACTCTCTAGTAAATATGTTCAGGACTGCAACCATAGCTGATTAATCACCTTTCCCTTTTAAACAGTTGATTAACTGACCGAAGTTAAATAAAATGGCGTTATCGCCAAAACACCAATAAGAGGTCTCTGCTTCAGAACATAATTGTGCCCTTATCTTTCAGCCTCACCAATTCAAATTTGACCTTCTCCATTAAAACTGCTGCCCACAATTAATCAACCTCAGCTTGTGACCCTAGGAGCAACAACTATCATTCTTTCTAATTTGTACAGAACTTTGCAGCAAAGGCGGGGAGGGGAGGGGGAAAAGGCCTGTGGAGTTTTCAATCTCAGGATTGGCAAGGCTGGCAATCAAGTCTGCCATTGTAGAGCAGTTAGTGACCAGAAGGCAATATAGTGCTAGATCTGAGTGATTTGCAGTAGATCAGCAAGGATTCTGACTCCTAACTGTTTTAACAACAACAACATGGAAAAAAGGCTCTCCTTTCTCCCTTCCACATCAGGCTGCTGAGACAAATAAAGCTTAGCCGGGCCAGGACTGGATTTGTGTGTGGCAAGACTGCGAGCTCGGTTCTTGCGCATTTCATTTATTTATCTTACTTGCAGTTTTATCTACTGCTTCAAAATCAAAAGTGACCGAAGCGGCATGCAATAAAATAAAATCATTATCCTGGAGCAGCCTTCAGCCTGCCTTCTGGCAGCCAAAAATCAGAAACAGTCTGGTTTTGCTCCACCTTTCCCTTTCAACACATACTTATTATGGAGGGAGCACCTGTCAAGTGATACGGCTGCAGCCCATATTCAGTGCACACCTGGACTCACTTTTTGTCTCCCACCAATAAGTTGCTTGTTGTTCTTGCAGCTTTCTCACATTTTGTAAGGAAGGGGGACCAGAAGCTCAACTCCGGGACTAGAACTCTGTGCATACGTTTTCAATAAGGCGTCCAGAATAAGGGAAACGGTGGCCCTCCAGGCGTTGCTGAACTACAACTCCCCTCTTCCTTGACCACTGACCATGCTAGGTGTGCAATGCTGGCATCAGAACCTGCCACCTCAGGCAGCTTCTGAGACCCAGCAAATCCCACCACAGATGGCCGTCTTGGGGCCCCCACATAGGCATGCAAGTCAATATTTTATGAATATTCTCCATTGCTTTCTTTCCTCCACCGTATAAGAGCTTTAACAAAGAAAATAAAGAGTATCAGAGCCAAGTAGATTGGCCAACCCTTTTTCTTTGGCCCTGCACTTTCTGCAGGCGTAAAGGGGAAAGTTTCACTTGCTGAGCTTGTTACTGTTACACAGGAGCAGGGTCAAAACAGAAGTTCGCAACTTTAGACCAGCTACATATTTTTTCAAATTTACTTATCAGCCAGCGGCAGTATACTGCTATCAGTGAAAAACCAAGTTAATCCAAGGGCAGGATTCAACAGAAATAATGGAAAAGCATCTCAGCACTTACGAACCTTTGGAATACATGCTGGGCCAGTACTAAGAGATCAGATATTCACTCTAGGCATGATCTGTGTTCTTTGCAATGAGAGGAGGGAGGGAAAAAAGTTTGCCCAGGTCCTCAGCTTGTATATAAAGTCTCACAGAGCATTTGAGGTGTGCACATGTTAGAATCCACTAGTCAAGTACAAAACTCCTCTAAGGGGAAGTTCACTATCCTGTTGCAATGATCAAAATCTTCCTTCCTTTACTAAGCACCTGTTAGAGAAATGGCAACTCCAACCGCTTGTTTAAGCAGAGAGCGGAAAGGTAGCATTGCAGGGATTAAGGAGGGAGAAAATGGTCCTTTGAAATGGCTCTGTAAACTCTGGTTAGCGTCAACCACAGCTAGCATTATAGAATCATAGACGAGTTGGAAGGGATCCCCGAAGGTCATCGAGTCCAACCCCCCCTCCAGCATTGCAATAATCTCCGCTAAAGCATCCATGACCGATGGCCATCCAACCTCTGCTTAAAAACCTGCAAGGGAGGAGAGTCTACAACCTCCCAAGGGAGACCTTTCCACTATCAAATAGCTCTTGCTGTCAGAAAGTCATTCCAGAGGTTTAGCCGGACATCTTTAGTGCAAATATGATGCAAATGATTAAAGGCAGCAAGAGAAGAGGTAGGGAACCACCCCAGAGGGCAAAGGCTCCTGATTCTGAAGCCATAGTTTGCAGACTTCAAAAGCAGTATACAAATGCATGGTATTGTTGCATGCCTTTTGTGGCGATCACACAGGGTCCCCGGACGTTTAACAGTCTATTGATCCCTGTGCCACCACTTCCCCGCTGCCACCAACCTGTTACTCTCTGGTAAAACACTGAGTCCAGACAGTTGTTAAAAGTGAACCAAAAAAAACCAAGTTTATTTTATAAACATTAACAAGTTTATGATTTCTCAGATAATATTCCTGTCAGGATCTTAACTTTAGTTTCTTTACTGGCCTATACCTTCCTAATACCTTCTGACTGATTATCTCAACTGTTTGACAGACTCCTCTTAACAAATTCTCTCCCTCTCTCACACCAGACTAGCCCAGCCCACAGACTTATCTCCTCTGTCTCTTCTAACTCCAGACTGTCTTCTCAACAACTCTAACTCTAACTCTTCCCCCCCCAAAAAAACTCTGTGCTTAAAACCTTAAAGGTAAAGGGACCCCTGACCATTAGGTCCAGTCGCGGATGACTCTGGAGTGCGGCGCTCATCTCGCTTTATTGGCCAAGGGAGCCGGCGTACAGCTTCTGGGTCATGTGGCCAGCATGACTAAGCTGCTTCTGGCGAACCAGAGCAGTGCACGGAAACGCCGTTTACCTTCCCACCGGAGCGGTACCTATTTATCTACTTGCACTTTGACGTGCTTTCGAACTGCTAGGTTGGCAGGAGCAGGGACCGAGCAACGGGAGCTCACCCCGTCATGGGGATTCAAACCGCCGACCTTTTGATCGGCAAGTCCTAGGCTCTGTGGTTTAACCCTTTTGATCGGCAAGTCCTAGGCTCTGTGGTTTAACCTATAGCGCCACCCGCGTCCCTGACTTAAAACCTTATACACAGTTAACCCGTTGGTTAGTCATTTTACAATTAGTTAACCCTTTCCTGACGAACCCAGTATGGGAGGGCAAACACCACACTCCCCAATCTCCAAGGGGCACAAGATTCCAGGGGTTCCTGGCACTTACCCAGGGTTTGGTTTCCTTGGAGTGAGGGACAGCGCCGACTGTGGAATCTCTGGAATCTTTAGGATATATGACTTATTTACACATAGATGCAACCTGAGCCTAGGATGGAGGGGGGCTCACAGCATTAACACCCCCGAAGAGTCTTGCTTCTCCCATAGCCACAGCCTTGTATTCCAACAGAAATTAGGCATGGCTCTGTCTCCCAGCTGCCCAGGCTGCAGCCTTGCCTCTACCTTCTAGCTGCTCCCTCTGGCCTTTGTCTTGTTAACTACCAGTGAGTTGAGGGAGAGGGACCTACCCATCTTTTATCTGGCACAGAGCCACTTCCTTTGTGACCTTAATGGCTCCTACTTAGAGGTCTATAACCTCACCAGGAAGTTAGCCTGGCTATTCCAGGGATTGAATCCATGCTGGATCCAGGAATTAGAAGGGGGCTCAAGCATACAGTTTACCCCTTCCACCACCAAAAAAACCTCATAACACTATTAGGGTTTTTTTAATTGTATTATTATTGGATTATAATTGCAGCTGCCACAGACCTACCGGAAAATCAGAGTTTTGTGTTACCATATTTCATATTTACCAGCATCTGCAGACAAAGGAATTTCGCCATATACAAAACATAGCATTGGGCTCTGCCCTTGGAAAAGGACAAAACCAAAACAGCCGGGAAGAGACAGCCTGGGCAATGTTGAAAGGGCACTGCGGGGCCGGAGGGAGGGCAGGGAGAGGAGAGGAAGGGAACAGGGCAATACAAGAAAGCACTGAAGGTACCAAAGGTGAAGACATCCCAGGAGACTCTGCTAACTAGGCTCCGAAAGGTCCTTGAGTTTACCTGAACTCTGCAACTTGGGAGTTCACCTGTCAGGACTCATAAACATTATGGCAGTGATAAGGCCGAGTTGGTAGCGTGCCAGCAGGACCCAGGTTCAAGTCTAGAAGCTGGCGAGAGGTTTCTAATGCTGACTCTGCAACACACTGCACAGGGCTTTAATCTCAAAGAAGAACAGGTAACATGTTTTTATGAGTCCACAATAAAAACTCCATCCATGCTTTGCTTAAACACAGGGGTGCCCACACTTTTTTCAAAATTTACAATTTTACCCCAAACTTGTTGAGCTTTTTTTAGGATTGAAGTTGCTGAGCTTTTGGGGGGATTTTACCCCCCAAAATAGGTAAATAGGTACCGCTCCAGTGGGAAGGTAAACAGCGTTTCCGTGTGCTGCTCTGGTTCACCAGAAGCGGCTTAGTCATGCTGGCCACATGACCCGGAAGCTGTATGCTGGCTCCCTCGGCCAATAAGCGAGATGAGCGCCGCAACCCCAGAGTCGGCCACGACTGGACCTAATGGTCAGGGGTCCCTTTACCTTTACCCCAGGACATATACTGCCATGGGAGCCAGAGTAAATTGACCAGCGGGCTGGATTAGGACCCCAAAATGGACTTTGAACATGCCTGGCTTAAGGAGTGAGCATTTCTGAAAGTCATAAAAGTATCACTTGATGAAAGCAACACCAGCTCCTTCTAACCTAACCCTAACTCATAGAATCATGGAATCGTAGAGTTTCCAGGGACCACGATGGTCATCTAGTCCAACCCTCTGCCATGCAGGAATCTTTCAACCGATGTGTGGCTTGATCCCACAACCCTGAGAGTAAGAGCCTCATGCTCTACTGACTGAGCTTTTGCTTATGTTTCACCATAGGATGCGACATATACTCGTAGTAGTAGTATAGCAAAAAGGAGCAGCTCGTTCCTTCTTCTGGAGATGACAATTTACTGTTTGGAGGGGCTTGTAAAGCGATAGCGTTCCAGCACAAACATGCAACCGTTCTCATTCATTATTACCTTCATTGCTATTAGTATTATTTATTGCATTTATATGGCTGCCCATAAATAAAATGCTCTGCGCAGCTTAAAAAGCAAAGGCATTTAGAAAAGCTTTAAGAATATAGACTTACCAGCTTTAAATAAAAGGGAGAGCCTTACAAAGTTCACACAGAAGCATAATATTGCTTACTTTAACTCGCCTGTGGAAACAGCTCAGGGGCTATTAAGAAGAAAAAGGATAACAACAAGAAGATTGAAAGATGGGACTGGTGAACACTAGAAGCAGCAGAAATATGAGATGATTGGACCCTACTGAACTCGAAGCATGGGAAGCCCCAACAAAAATTTATAATTTGGGGAAATGTTTAGACTTTATGATATGTATTGGTATAGTTTGGAATGGTTAATGTGATACGATTGGATTGTTAAATGGAAAACTTAATAAAAAATATTTTAAAAAATAATAGAAATCTTTGAGAATGTAAGAGAGTAGCTTGCCATTGGCCTCATCCAGTAGGCTCTTCTTATGTTCTTGGGGCAGACCCACACCATACCTTTAAAGCACATCCAATGCACATTTAAAGCAGATGAATACTGGGAGCTGTAGTTTCCATCCTTGTAGAGCTACAACTCCCAGCACTCTTAACAAACAACAGTCTCCAGGATGCTTTGAGAGAAGTCCTGTGCTTTAATTTACATCTGGGCTTTATCTGTATGGTGTGGATCTGCCCTAAGGCTACTGGATCCGACTTTTACTCAGATCTCTTGTAAAAAGTGAAATGTGCGTTCAAAAGCTTTCTCTCTTTCTGTCTCTCTGCGAGTAAAGGGGAGAGAAATGACCAGAGAGGGTGGTGCCCACGGCCTTTGCTTATAAATCCAAATGTGCCCCCGGCATAAAAAGGTATCAGAAGGTATCAGAAACTAGATCTCCCTAAGCATTGCTTACGCACAGACAAAAATGGGAGGGGAGATGTTACACTGCAGAGGCACACTAGAAAAGCTTTCATTCCAGTTGTTTGTTGGGAATTTTAATTTATATAAGCCACCCCATGAGGCCTACATTCTAAGAGGCAACCTAAAAAAACCCTCTTTATAAATAGATACTTTCCAGTATGGAGATAAACATGAGAACAAAATGAAGCTAATTTATTTCTGTATTTATTATTATTACAGTATTATTATTATTATTACTAGTGATTGGTTTGTGTTTTTTGTTCTTGTTTTTTGATTGTGTATTCTATTTTGTGCTTTTGTATTGTATTTTTTTGTTGTGAACCACCTTGAGATCTGCGGATGAAAGGCGGCATACAAATTTAATAGATAGATAAATATTGTTATTACTTATTAAATATGTATACTGCTTTTCATCTGAAGATCCTAGGCCAGCTGGCAACAGAAAAACACAAAATGAGAAATATATATATATATAATTTATATATAAATTATAAAATGAGAAATATATATATAATATAATTATATTATTATATTATATAATAATATAACACACATACACACACAAATTAACAACACGCCCCCCTCCCATTTTATACCAGGTCAGACACTTGGTCCACTTTAACTCTGTATTGTCTACACCAGGCTTTCTCAACCTCGGCCCTCCAGATGTTTAGAGACTACAATTCCCATCATCCCTGACCACTGGTCCTGCTAGCTAGGGATCATGGGAGTTGTAGGCCAAAAACATCTGGAGAGCTGAGGTTGAGGAAGCCTGGTCTACACTGACTTTCAGTCCCCTTTCCCAGGGTCTGAGTCACGGGGATTTTATCTGGGACCTTTTGCGCACGAAGCAGACGCTCCTCAACTGAGATATACTCCTTCCCCAAGTTGTGTCAGGCAATCATTTTAACAAAGCTGAATTTAGAGAGTCTGTTTGGTGTGAATGGTTACAGTTACTGGATGAGGATCTGGGAGATCAGGGTTCAAATCCCCACTCTGTCGTGAACCTCCCTGGGCGACTGTGAACCTGTCTGTATCCATACCCTCCGACATGTCCAGACCAAAAACTGGGCCACACGTCTTCTGGGCGGACCACGTGACCCCATGTGAAATCATGGCCCTGAAAAAAGTGCATGGAAGGGGGCAAGATTGCAGTGTGAGATCATGTGAGATTACAGTGCCCAAAATGGCTTCCATGCTCTCGCAACAGGACACACTGGTTTTCTCTTGACAATTGAGGGGTATGGTGGATCTCTCAGTCTTACCTAGCTCACAGGGAGGCAGAGTATAAACCATGTACACTGTCTTGAGATCCTTGAGGAAAAGTTGGGGGATAAATGTAATAAATAAATAAAATTACTGTCCAACATGAGCAGCCAACCCTGGAGGCGCATAAGAACCCTTAGTGAAAACAAGGCATTGCCTGATCATGTCATTGAGTGAATCAGGCCTTCAAAAGTCCTTTTCGTGTGGAGAGACAAAATAATAATACAGTGGTACCTCAGGTTAAGTTGTTCCGGAGGTCCGTTCTTAACCTGAAACTGTTCTTAACCTGAAGCACCACTTTAGCTAATCGGGCCTCCAGCTGCCGCTGCGCTGCCGGAGCACGATTTCTGTTCTCATCCTGAAGCAAAGTTCTTAACCTGAGGTAATATTTCTGGGTTAGCGGGGTCTGTAACCTGAAGCGTATGTAACCTGAAGCGTATGTAACCCGAGGTACCACTGTAATAAAGTTCCCAAATGAAGATCTGAGGGAATTTTGCAAAGAGGGTTGTCATCAGGGCACACGAAACCTGGAACTGATGAGACACTTTCATTTTTAGTGCAGCTGTTATCAGCCCTGGACAAAGAGCAAGAAGGAATTTCAGCCCCCTAGAAAAATACACAAACGCTCAATTGCAAAAAAAAGCAGCACATCGGCAAGCTTGTTGCTTTTCCCCATTCCAAACTCGCCACTCAAGGGGCTGCCGCTCTGTTCAAATTACCAAGGCGCAGAAAGCACAGAAGCCCATGTGAGTAAATGTTTCAACAAGCTGGGAAAGTGCCGTTGAGCGCCCTACTCATGTTGTGAAATTGATGCAGGTTTCTTACAAGTGTGGGCAAAATTACATCAACTCCTGTAAGACATGTGTAGACAGACACACACGCCAACTCCACTCGCAGGTGCTCAAACCATCCTTTTAAAACACATGCCTGGAGAGGCAACTATCAAATGCAAGGGTACTCAACATGGCGTCCTCCAGATGCTGGAAGACTACAGCTACCATAATTTCTGAGCTTTGGCCCTGCTGGCTAATGCTGTTGGCAGATGTGGTACAAAATATCTGGAGGGCAGCACGTTGGTGGGGAGGCAACGAATCCCTTCTTTGTGAGGCAGAAGGTCCCATGTGCTCTGCCATCCCACCCCAAAGCTGCAAGTCAGGCTCTGTTCCCAAAATTCAGGGCAGTTCCCCGCACCCTCAGCTCCAGGAGACTCCAGGACACATGGCCAATTAACTGCCTCAAACTTTCCTCAAAGGAGATTGTGTCTTTTGAGCCTGACATTTTACGGGATTATTTTAAAAGCCAAAAAATAGTTTTGTTTGCTTTTTAGACCAAAAGCTGAAGAGAAGGAATTAAAAAAAGAATGAAGGAACAGAAAAGGCAGGTCTATTAATAGAGAGTTGGCTGCATCTGTAACTCTGAAACCATGACCTGCCATCGCTCCCTAAAAGAGTCAATATTTTGCAAAATATGAGTATTGTTAAATGCTCAGCGTTGACATTTCCTGGTCTCTGCTAATTCTCCTTCACTGTATACTTTAAACTTCCTTACTAGAATTTCCCCCAGCACCTTGCTCTTCCTCCTAGAGTTTCTATGACAGTAGCTGCTGCACTATCTCCAAATCAGATGCCCACCCCTTGATTCATTCCCCAACCCCAGAACTTTCATCTGCAATGTTCCACCCCTTCCCCAGCTTACAAGAAAGCTGTAAGTTCACAGGTGTGATCCATGCTCTCCCCAAAGCACCACACAATTATGTGTAGACAAAGACTATATGGGGCCCCTACAGATTATGTCTTTTTTATTGTGCATTCATGATGATCTGTGCACACGATGGTGTCAGAACAGTTACACACAATGCTACTTTCAACAGTTTGCAGCTGCAGAAGTGGATGTAATATTTTGCTTCCAATCAGCAAATGTCCTGTAGCTTCCTGCTGAAACCCTGTAACTTATTGTATTGCAGATGTTGCAGGGGTTGCCTGTTTGTTGTCCCATCTACGTTGGGCTATGGTTGAGGTGGGGACTGTAGTGTAGGTGGGTTCCCACAAGGCAAGACACAGTGATAACAGCAAAAGCCTTTATTGAACTAACAGAACTGGACAACAGGGGCAAAGCAACTGCTTATATACATTTCTGAAGGCCTGGACCACTCCCACTCCCAACGTGATTGGCTATCTAAACTTCCAGGCTGCGAATCATAACTCAGAGTTTAAGGGCCAATGGCAGAGGCCCAAATCTTGAAATGTTCTGTGATTGGATATCATGTATTGAATCAGAACACAGGGGCTCAGAATCCTTAGTCCAGACTCAAGCTCAGGCAAACAGAGACCACTGAATACATAACAGGGACCATCTTGCTCACACGCTTACCAGTGCTTCCAGAGAAACTTACCAACCGAGTCAAGTAATGGGCAGAGAAGTTTCTCTGAAAGACAGCTTACACGTCCAGTGCAGATTTCCTTTCAAACAGGGATGGGGAGCCTGTAGTCCTTCGCAGGACTCCATCCCCCCAGCTAGCAGGGTGAACCGAGGATGGATATTTTAGTCCAATGACATCTGGAGGGCCACATGTGCCTCATTGCTGCCTTACAATGTGCAGCTGCAGGCACGTGTTGGGCTTGTGGGCCACTCTGGTCAG